AACTCCAGTCACTGTTGTTTTCAGAGGGCCACCCTACCAAACAAAATCATAGTATTAAGACCCAACAGAATGGCCAAGGGAGCTCGTAAAATTGTCTGATATAAGAAAATAATTCATCGACTATTTAAAATAAAGCGGGTTCATTAATTATTGACCATGAACAAAAAGGAAAAATAGATTCAGAGTTATGACTTTAACCAATGAAATGGCAAAAGGATCAGAGGGCAGAACAAAATCTAGGAAATGAAATAAAAAAACACACCTGCATTAGACCCAAAACCTCAACTTCTTCTCCAACTTTTATGGTCCCTTGTTCCACACGGCCAGTGGCCACTGTTCCGCGTCCCTTCAACAAAAATTAAAAACATGAGGTAATGGTATCCCAGGAAATCACTGCACTTGTTTAAAATGTGCTTTTTCAAGACAAAAGAGGCAACCGACGCAGATTGTGAGCATTTACAGGCATCTGATATCAAATAGATAAATAAATGTGGCAGCACTCTGTCATTTAGAGTATCATATCTGATTGAAATTAAATAACCTTCACACTTGATCATCTAAAAATTTAAAGCATTCCATGAAAACACGCTTAAAAATATTACAGGAGAAGCACAATAATGCTAGGATACCATAACGTTCATATATTCACAGTAATCAAATACCGCCTGTTACAATAAGATTCAAATCAGAAGTCAAACTCCATTTTACCTGAATAGAGAACACATCTTCAATGGGCATTAAGAAAGGCTTGTCAAGCTGGCGAACAGGGTCAGGGATATATTCATCCACAGCATCCATCAATTTCAGAATGGCCTTTCTACCAATCTCATCATTTGTACCCTGTAAGGCAGACAATGCTGAACCTCTAACAATAGGGATTTCATCACCAGGGAACTTGTAGAAACTTAGCAGCTCTGCCAAATACATTAAGTTAGCATAACAAACTAAGAAAAAAAAAATTCATGAACTAGTTTTCTTTCTGAAGGCGGGAAGAGGAAGCCTGAAATGCCCTACCACGAAGCTCCATTTCTACCAGCTCTAACAACTCTGGATCATCAACAGCATCAACTTTATTTAAAAAGCACACAAGAGATGGCACACCGACCTGTATGATGCATAAAGTATATGTACATTAAACTACAAGTTAAGGCAACTGTAGATTTAAAAGTATGCTCAGGTGGCGTGCAAACCACACTGGAAATAGACTACCTACTTGGCGGGCAAGAAGAATGTGTTCCTTGGTTTGAGGCATGGGTCCATCAGGGGCAGATACAACAAGTATACCCCCATCCATCTGCGCTGCTCCTGTAATCATATTCTACACACACAAAAAATACAATTTCAAATCCGGTTCATGGCTGCACAAAAGCAAACATGCAAAAAAGAAAAAACAACTTTGCTGGATACTACAACACAGCAACAGGATGTTCTAGCGACAACTTCTCCACGTGGTTGCCTTAAAGCGTTAGCCAGGCAAATCATAGAGAAGCAGAACCAAAGTTAGAACTTACTTTAACGTAGTCTGCATGTCCAGGGCAGTCTACATGTGCATAATGTCGTTTAGCTGTCTCGTACTCAACATGTGCCTGAAAATTGAGTTATCATCATCTCAGAATAGTGTGATAGAAAATGCAGTAAACTATTGCATGACCAAAACGGCCTGCCGGAATGATTAAATAATATATGTTCCCACCGTTGCAATTGTGATTCCTCTCTTTTTCTCTTCAGGAGCCTTATCAATTTCATCAAACGCTATAGCCTTAGCTTTTCCTTCTTCTGCTAGAACCTGATAAAAAGGCCAGATGAATAAGTCCTGATGCTACAAGAGTGGATGCTTCCTGACTCGTACCAAAACATTGATTTGTAAGGTTGAGATCCGGAAAATATAGAAGTACAAACCTTGGTAATTGCTGCAGTGAGTGTAGTCTTCCCGTGATCAACATGCCCAATAGTCCCCACATTAACATGGGGTTTTCTGCCAGCAAGTGAAGACGACAGGTGAGAAGGAGGAAAGGGAAAAGGGAATCATCACGTCATGTAACCTGGACACTTCTCCCGTTCACGAAATTGAAACATATTAAGCAAAGTAGCATGACCTCAACCTCAAGTTTAGATTATAATCTTTGTATTGGAATTGGATGATTAACTAGCCGCGAAACAGCCATTTTCTTTATAGGCAAGCGTACTGTGCAGGATGCAGGATGTCATCACTGACCTCAAATAAAGAATTCTGACCTCATTAAGGAAAGGATTTCAGCTTGTGTTTAGATTTGATTGGTTAGATTGGAATTGGATGACTAGCTACCAGCGAGTCTGCATTTGATTTACAGACAAATCTACCGCGCGCGATGTCATAGCAAAAATATTTAATTTGGCGGGATGACAGTCTAAGAAATACATAGCCAGGATTTTTATCTCCGTCGAACAGGAATCTTTTGGTTATTTCGGGGGAAATCATCGTACAAATACTCTCAACAGTAAAATGTGATTGAAAAGAATCCAAGTGAACAAGACTAAAAAGTACTAAATGCAGTACGACGCCGGCACATAGAATGTTGAGCAGAAGGTCGACCGCCAATATATTCATAAAGTCCAATTCTATGACGCGCACGTTTACAGACACCCGATCGTAGGGATCAAAATCGCGATCAGAAGGAGCAGTAGCTCGGAACGTAATAAACGGATTGAGACAGAACTTACGTTCGTGTGAAAGTGGCCATGGACCTCCACCACGGATTGGAAGCAGAGGCTGTCTCATTTCCATGGACCAGCTCAGAAAGCTGGGAATGAGCGAAGAGTGGGGCTCGAGAGCAACAGTAGACTTGTGAAGAAAATGGGAAGAGACGTTTGGAAGCAGAATTTCTTAGAGCCACAGACGCCATTGGAGAGAGAAGATGTCGTTGCTGAAGAGATGAAACTAAAGAAGCAGCCCTAGAAGGGGGAAAATTCAAAGCCTCGAGTGCTGGGAGGCGAAAGCTGCTCTTTACTGGAATGGGGTTTTAGGCTTCACGAGGGTTTTGCTTGCAACGCAGTGTCCGCTCGCACAACCCGACCCATTTGACTTCGCGGGGATGTGGCCCAGTTCTGCCGACCCGAACATCTGGGGTGTGATTTATTGATATGCTGTTTCCCGGGGACTGGCTTTGAATTCTAGATTTTAGGATTATTTTTTTTAATTCTTTGTGCTAATTCACTTTATGTGATCAACTTGATTATTGATGGTTGCAGACTGGCAGCATTGGCAACCCCGAGCACGGGCTGGTTTTGGAAGCCCTCGGGCAACTATTGGGCCTTGGCTAGCAAAGTGAAGTTCCGCACTTTTACATGGAAGGTAGTCGGATAGCTGATTTTGTGACACGTGCATTTAAGTTTTGCTTTTATTATTATTTGAATATTCGAGACATGAAATGTCTGATTAATTTTTCCCTATGCTAAACTAGCTGTTACAATATTTGCATGCTAGTAACGCAAAGGCACGCTTGTTGGCTACGCGGAGCAAGGCACGCTGTTTTCACTTTATAGCCGGGCTCTTTGGAAATGGCTCGAGAGAAAATTGTATCGGAAAGTGTTTCCCAGCTGGTTATCTTCGTTGGGCCCTCTCTCCCACCAGGTACATTGTCCATGTGTGCTTCTTGTGGATAAGCTTCAAAATAGAGGACCAGCCAACCAAACAAATTGGTGGCCACAAGAATTGCTCGTCTGCGACTGATCCTAGGAATGAACAGTGAATCAGAAAACTGTATTACATTCAGTTCTCAATATAAGAGCTAGTTAACTATTTTGAATGAACTAAAAATTAATTAACTTAATTATTCATAACAAATTGTTGTATTCTCCAAAATATTCCTACTATTAGTTATAACTACTATTTAATGATAATAAGGATAAAAGATAGTAAAACTTATGCAAATTACACATACATGTAAACTTGATATAGACCTATCATGGAATATAATACTCCTCCGGTCCTTAATATGAGACACATTTGACTAATTTGATTAGATTAAGAAAGTTAGGTAAGTTAGTTAATTACAAAAAAGTGACATATTTTTCCTAAACATCATAATCATTTTTCTTAATACCCCTCTCCCTCTTCTACTTGATTATGGTTGAGAACTATTCATAGGGTAATTTAGAAAAATTGATAAATATGATAAATAATCTTATATTTAGGACTAAAACTAACTCAAGAATTGGGTCTATATTAAGAACCGGAAGAGTACCAATGATGAATAATTAGAACCCGCCTGAATCAATAAGATGCATGCCTAATTTTATGATTATTTTTAATTAAGATTTATATTATTTTTATGAGGTTATTTCTTATCTAATGAAGTTTTATAATTTTATGATTTGTTCCACTTAGAACTTAAGTCAGGCTTAGGTTGCTCGAAAATCTATAAATAGAACAAAAAATATTTTTATTACAGGTCTTTATAATAGCTCGTTTTCCGCTTATATTTTTCCTTCCCCTTTCGTCCGTATCTCCTTCACTCTCTTGCTGTCCTCCACTATCTAGTCTCTCCCTTCGCTTCTCCATCTCCCTCCACGGTAATAAGTCTCTTATTAAAATATATCTGTTGAACATTTTTGCATTATCTTGTCCCGGAATTATCATTAGGGTTATGGTGCATTTAATATCCTAATTATTTTATCAAGTGTATCCAGTAATTTAAAATATTTTGTGGTGCATTTATCATTTGAAGTATTTTTTTAAGTCCATCTAATACCTTGCAGTATTTTTTAATGTATGCAGCACTCCAAAGTTTTTTTTAGATCCAATTGTAAAATATTTTTTGGTATATTCAATGCCAAAATAAAAAAATATTTTAAAATATTAAATATATCATAATAAAATATTTTAAAATATTGCATGTGTTTGAAAAGATATTTCTGAGTTGCTGATGTATTTAACTCTTATTATTATAACGAGATAATATTGATAATATTTAGGCCAGGGCAGGGGGCGTGATTTTCCTTTTTCCTGGCCAACAAGGGCGATAGCCTCTTGAGTCTTGACTTCCGGGTTAGGCAATTCGGATCAGCGAGGCATCGCACGACACCAACAGTAAGGACCGGACCAGCGCTGCACTTTTCTGCTCCTTTGCCGCTTCCTTTACTCTTTGCATCGAATTCTCTCGCTTTCTCCACCATTTTCCTTATCAAGCTCTCTTCTTTTCTTCCCCCTTGTATTTCTAGTTTACTTTCTTGAAGAAAGAAAGAAACTTTGGCGGACACAATCAGGACTTTGATTGTCCCTACTCCTTCTCTTACCGAAAATCCATTTCTTGCTCCGCCATATCATTTTGGCAGTGCTTTGTTTTGGAATTTTGGATCGATTTCGACTTTTTCGGGTTTCTTACAATTGACTTGACCGCCTTTTCTTCTGTAAACGAATGGGAAGCATTGGCTTAAGTTGATCGGGAGAAGGGTTGTTCATCATCAGAGCTCTCGAAGATGATTCCCTGGGGCGGACTCAGTTGCTGTTTGAGTGCGGCTGCTCTTTACCTTCTCGGGAGAAGTAGTGGCAGGTAAGGGAATTGTTGTCTATATTCAATCATCAATATTAAACTATGAATATGACTAATATGTGTACTCTATATTTGCGTAAGACTCGTTGTGGCATTCTCTAACACGGGAAGCTATTTTTCTGGTACAGAGACGCCGAAATTCTTAAGTCCGTTAGCCGTGTCAATCAGTTAAAAGAATTAGGTACGTGTTTTTTTTTCCAGAATCAGAGATGAAGGTTCTTGCGAGATTTTGTTCTTTTTATGGTTCCAGAAAGCGGTATGACTATGCTTATGGAAGTTTTAAATTGTATATGTATGGTATAAGTGTCAGATCCTAAGGATGCCTAATGCAGGTAGGTTTGTATTGGCAGTGCTCGTAGATGTGCTTTGTTTCGTTGCTTGCATCGCAATTGAGTACAGTCATCTCTTAGGAACGCAATTTTTTAATCAGTGGTATTGTTTCAATTATGCTGTTTGTTATTTACGTGAAAAAATCGTATTAACACTGGTTGCTGAAAATAACAGATATTGTTTCACATGGATGACTATCCAATATCACTTTCCATTTAGCATTACTGCACACCGATTTTACATATCATGCTGTTCTATCTCTTAATTTCATACAAACCGTTGCATTGATTGCATTTCCTAAAGTTTGATTTATTTTCTAGTTCTAGCTTCTAGTGTCTGGATTTTGGTGGCAATGTGGCATCAGTCTGAAAGATAGTAGCTTCTTAGCCTTAAGAATGCCTTATTTGAATGCTTAATAACTATTGGGTGTGCTTGACGATACAGTCTTTTTAATCACACTTTGTATTCTTTTTCTTCCCCCACTTTTCAGCACAGAATGCCTTATTTGAATGCTTAATAACTCTTGGTTGTGCTTAACGATGCAGTCTTTTTAATCATACTTTCTCTTCTTCTTTTTTTTCCCACTTTTCAGCACAACTGTTAGATGCTGAAATATTACCTCTGGTTGTTGCAATTTCCGGAAGAGTTGGCTCTGAAACCCCAGTTAACTGTGAATTCAGCGGTTTAAGGGGCGTAATAGTTGAAGAAACGGTAGATGAGCCATGACATTCTACAGAGCTTAAATAGTCTTCTTCTGTGAAAATGCTGCCTATCTTGTTTCAGTCCTTGTGAATTGATGTTTATCATGGTTGTGCTTTTATCTCTAGGCAGAGCAACATTTTCTTAAACACAATGATGCTGGTTCGTGGATACAAGATTCTGCTTTAATGCTATCCCTGAGTAAAGAAGTTCCTTGGTATCTGGTGCGGATATATTTCCCCCCTTTTAAGCTTATTAATTAGCTGGTAATTAAAGTAGTGTAGTGATGGTCCCCTTTCATTGAGATGAATGAAAGACCCAGAGAAGTGTTTAACAGTATGCATTTTTCTCTTTTGACAACCAAATTCGCTTGAAGTGAATGGTCAAGTTATATACATATCACAGCTCCACATTTTTGCATGTTAGGATGATGGAACTGGTCGTGTTCATGTGGTTGGAGCTCGGGGCGCAACAGGTTTTGTATTACCTGTTGGAAGTGAAGCATTTGAAGAGTCAGGTCGATCACTTGTACGTGGAACATTAGATTATCTCCAAGGTCTCAAGGTGGGAGTGCTGTTAATTCATTATAATAATCCCCGATCCCAAAAGGCTCCTTCTCACCCTCCCAACATCGAATTTAGATTAGAGAAGAAGAACCTCCCTGGCTTCTATGAATTGACAAAGTTTAAACCACTTTTTAGATGCTTGGAGTCAAGAGAATTGAACGAGTACTTCCAATTGGCACATCCTTGACAGTTGTTGGTGAGGTATGTGGTGGGGGTGACGTTGTAGTTAAATGCGTTAAAAATATTGAAATAATTGAACGGGGACTCCAATATGAATTACAAATGATATTGGAAGAGTATTCTATGCTTACAAAGAAAAGGGGTCTGCATTTGCTTTTCTTTTCTTCTTTTTTTAAATACAAAAACTCTATATGATTTACTAATTCATGATTTCTTTTGCAATTACCTTTGAACTGTATAATCAGGCTGCCAAAGATGACATTGGAACCATCCGAATTCAGCGACCCCACAAAGGGCCATTTTATGTCTCCCCAAAAACGATTGATCAGCTCATTGCCAATCTTGGGAAATGGGCAAGGTTGATTTATAGCTGCATTGATGTTTATTTGGTGTTTTCATGTACATATTTTTGGATTGACTGAAACGTTCTTGTTAGGTGGTATAAGTATGCATCTGTGGGCTTGAGCCTTTTTGGTGCTTATTTATTAGCCAAGCATGCTATTCAGTACATCTTGGAAAGACGACGCCGTTGTGAACTGCAAAAGAGGTATGCATCACCTCGTGACCCTTCTCATTAGTATTGAAAAAACGGAATACCATTGCAAGAAATTGAATTAGGAAAAAGGAATCAGACAAATTGCAGTTATTCAAATGTAATTTTCATTACTTCGTTGTTCTGTTTATGCAGGGTTCTTGCTGCGGCTGCTAAGAGGTCAGGACAAGATAACGAAGGTACGTTGCTAAGAACCTATGTTATTTAATTTTGCTTTGACTTTCTTTTATCGGTACTCAAAATTTGTGACTTCTCAGGCGAAAAGGCTGACAGTTTACCAGATGGTGCAAAAAGAGATCGTGTCATGCCAGATTTATGTGTAATATGCCTTGAGCACGAGTATAATGCTGTTTTTGTTCCGTGAGCTACTAAACTTGTCCTCTTTCTTGCTTGAACAAAATTTTCTAAACTGCAGGTTCTGTTGATCTTTTATATGTTTCTCTGATACTGAGGTCTATTTATAATCTCAGGTGTGGGCATATGTGTTGCTGTATAATTTGTTCTTCCCACTTAACTAACTGTCCTCTATGCCGGCGGCGGATAGAGCAGGCAGTGAAGACATATCGTCATTGAACATGATGGAGTCAAAAGTAGATGATCCTACGTGGCATTCTGATTCATGCCTTTCAAGGGTCCAAGCAACGTTTAGGCCAACGGCGATGATACAACTTCTCTACTTGCTCACCAGCCAGTTTCCTGACCTCTGCCTGAGAATCTGAAATAAGCAAGCTTTCAGAGATACATCAAAGACATAATTCTTTCTTGTTAACAGCTGGTGCTTTTGGCATCTCGATTTGTGAATATGCTTACTATTGCTATAGTTGGTGGTGTATTGTACTTCGCTAAATTTTCAAACATCACTGATACAGTCTTCATGTTGAAAATTTGTTCACAACGGCTATAGTACTTGATTGAAGGAAGCGACATCTGAGACTGTCTTCATGTGGATGATTTAGTTCTTTGGGGAAGTTACACTGTTACAGTCAACCGGATGGCCGCAATGGATCCTCTGCTCGTGGTTCCCTCACAATAGGGGATCCTAAAAAGGAATGCATGTGTAGAAGGTGGGAGGGCTATCCCAATTAAATCCCCGATAATAATCTAAATTGACCCAGTTAGAATGTGGGAGGACCTGTTTGGAATAGTTTATAAGTAGCTTGTAAGCTGCTTTTCAATAGTGATTTACGAAATACGAAACAAGTATGTGAAAAAAATTTTGTCTCGATTTACGTAAAACGTGTTTATAGGAGATTTTCACTATTTTGAGTCATAAAGAACAAGTGTACGGGCATCTCCTTGTTTACCGTTAATGACTCAAAATCTGTTAATCTCCTTGTTTCATGGACAAATGGTGCGATATAGGGTGAGATTTCAGGATTTCTAAAGATATCATGCCAGGACTCCGTGGGCCTTTCCTGCCTGGCCACAGCCTTCAGTATATTACCACGCTGAAAGATAGAATATACTGGGTGGAGTTATTTCTCATTTGCGTAGCTGGAGAGTCAAAAGAAGTGATTTTTTTTTTTGTAGTCGCTAGAAACTGAATTGTGTCTGGCCAAAAAAAGAAGAAAAGAAACCGAATTGTGGCCTTGTGGGCGATGTGCGGCTAGCTGTTTGGTACATGTTCTTTTCGTTTGTGGCAAGTAGCCTCATGACTCATGAAGATAATACCAAGATGCTATTGTGGAAATTGCATGAACTTCAAAAGGGGAATATTTGCTTACAAAACAATCAAATTAAGGACCTAATTCTTGGGTTTGGGAGTGCTTGGCTTCTAGAAATTAGACCCCCCTCATGGACTTCCTCATCTTTAACTGAGGCTTCTCCACATTTTCCTTTCTGTAAGCTGCATTGGTCTTAGCCGATCAATTCGAGCATCATATTATGCCTACAGCATATTCCATATCACTGCCTCAAAAGTGAATCCTCCTTTTTGTGCAGCATCAGGTGACATAAAAAAATCCATGTAACTTACGCTGCAAGCCAATCAAAATCGTATCTGTATTCCATACACTAGTTACTTGATTTTCCTCCTTTTCTTTCTTTCTTTCTTTCTTTCTTTTTTTTGTTCTTAGTCTGGTTCACATTTGAAGTTCCGCATCGTTGCCCCGAGTGACACGAGAGAATAAAAAAGTTGTCTTTTCCTCTCATCCTGCTTCACTAACATGTTCGCTTCCCACAATTAAATTCGATAGAATATCTAAATGCGGCCTCGAAACTTTAATCATGTAAGTGATATCAATATATGCCATATGCGGGACACTTTGCATCGAAAACTTGCGGGGTCCTTCATCATCTGCTGTAAGATTGGAATTTGAGTCAATTCAAAGAAAACAAGAAAAAAATGGTAGCTAGTAAATGGTAATAGGGTCTTTCATCATTTGTCGTAAGATTGGAATTTGAGTCAATTCAAAGGAAACAAGGAATCAAGAATGGTAGTAAATCGTAATATTAGGTAGCGTGGATTCTTTCGTCTTTGTTATATGCTGGGCATGGAGTAACAGTAAATTCCATAAAATATGCAATTGGTTTCCCCAGAAAGCTATGTATTATTCTTCCCCTGACATGCATGTATGAGCAGCGGAATCACGCCTTCCTACGTGGCAGCCCACGTCTGCAGTGTAGAGGTTTCTTTATTTCTTTATTTCTTTAGTTCTACGAGTCTTGCTTGAATCTGATACCTCATCTGGGTGCCCGCCATCGCTTTCCCTCAAGTTTCAAACTTTATCACCTGTTAAAAGGACTATGTTGCCGAATGAACATATAGCAGCATTAGATGGATAGAATAGAAGAGCCCATAATATATAACAGCTGTAATCGCTAGTTTTAGATATTTAAGCGTAGAATAGACGGACAAGCGAAGTGGGAATTGATCCCTCCCCATCACATCCGTGGAAAAAATGGGAAAAGCTACCTGCTTAGTCCTTGTTAGGAATCTCTGCAATCTCGATTATATTGGTTCCAACCAGATCAAAATTCAAAAGTTCATCTTTTCTTCTCTAACCACCTTTCTCTTTACCCTCTTTCGGATGAATACTATATAACAGCTAACAAGCTTCTTCAGAGTTGCACTCAGCCCGTGATCTTCTCCTTCTTCCCTTAGGCCATAAACTGATCAGCATGGAAAGAAACAACCAATCGTACAATTCGTCCAGGTGCACGAAAATCCGGGAAGCGCTGGCAAACAGTTCCGCCGTGCGAGCCATTCATCGCATCTCACACTATCATCACCAAGAACCTTCTGGTTCTCCATTGCCTCAGCCTCGCCATATCAGAGGAGATTATAATGATGAAGTAAACGGGGCAGTTCCCATCAAGTTCGTGGATCACCCAGACCCCACTTTCAATGGGCAGGCCCAAGTAGGCAAAGTTGCTGGCAGGATCGAACCTGAGCGACCACATTATGCTTCTGTGAATCGAGCAGCCGCACGCAAAGGTGAACAGAAAGGCAAGTCTGCGGCGCAGGAATTGGAGCATCAACATGAGAAGAAGGATATGAATTATATTTTCGGTGAGTACATTCAAAGGGCTAGAGAGAAATTAAGAACTGTGTCCAACATTGGGAAGGGGCATCATAGCAAGCCTGCACAAGACGAGGCTAGTGTGAATGTTGCCAAGAAAAAGGATACCCACAAAGATCAAATTTCTGAGTTTATTATCCGTACTAAGAAGAAGATCAGAACTACTTCGAGCATTCGATTCGGAAAGAATGAGTCCTTGAGAAGGGGGTAAGATATTGAATGTGTCTGTTACTGATGTTGTTAATTATGTGGTTTGCGCATCTATCTTTGTTGCCGATCAGGGATTAAAAATAAGGCTCTGCCAGGGCCCTGACATGTTTATTTCTATACTTTCTATTCAATTTGAGGTTGTGGAGTTTGACATTTAATGTTTGGTTGGGGGGATGATTTGGATATATATATCTCTATATGTATAATGATTGTAAAGAGAAGGATGAATAATTCATGATTGTACTAAATAGTTGGTCGCTGTTGCTGCATCTCAGATATTCACTAGTTACTTGGTCCATTCCTTTCGATGTTGCTGCACATTGTAACTTCTAACTTTTGCTGATCACACACAGTGTGTACAAGTATATCCTATCATTTGATTGTGTGTTATTGTTTTCATGATGAGGAGATGGTTGCTAATAAATATTTGGGAATTTAAAGGTAGTTATAATTCTACATCTACACAAATCTGAGTTTCCGACCTCAACACCGCGCCGTGCAACTGTTTAAGTAACGATATTATTAAACCACACTGTTTACTATCAATTTTCTCACCCCACAAAGCGTAATGTTAGTTGCAGGTCAAAACAGGAATACTCTGAGTTAGTTTACAGATTAATACACATTAATTGCATTAATCCGTATGAAGCATGGATTTTTTGGGGGGGGGGGTGGGGGGCTACACTATTCAAGTACAACTCATTTCCGCTTAACGGTATATCGGTGGACAAATGGTCTTCAAACTTCAAAGGTTAGCACGGCTTCAACCAGCAAAGGACAGATGCGATGGTTTTTCATGACTTGTTTGACTAGGGTGTTGGAATTAAGTTGTTATAGATCCTGGTCCTCTCGGGGCAAGTATGATCCTCGATGGCCAGGGTCACTGGCAAAGCTACGTTGGTCGGGGGGCAAATGCACCCGACCCTAGGAAAATATACAAGGATGTGCCATATTAAAGGTCCATATTTTGCATCCCTTGCCCTTAAAATTTTTGTTTGGTACATACCCTTGAAATTTTGCAGAGCCCCGCTCAAGTGTAAAAAGTATTTGGGCTCATAAAGCCCACCAACCTTAGACCCAAAAGCTTATACAAATGACATACTCCTCTGGTCCTATTTATGAGTATTTCCAACATCTTTCATACAGACTAAAAAAATTTTAAATTTTATTAACTCTCATTTAAAATTTAACAATTTTTTAATTTTATCCATATTTAATATACAGCCATGTCTCATGTAAATAAAATCAACACAATCATATATGAAAAATAAAATTGTACATCCATGCAAAAATTTCTCTCAGTCCCCTATAAATAAAACCAAAAAATATTCTCTCTTTACCCTATAAATAGGACCAGCGGAGTAATGCTAATAAAAAAACTTTTGGCTCTAAAATTTATTTCCAGATACGTGGTTTATTTCTAGGCATGCAATTGCTGGCTTTTAAATTAATAACTTTCGAATCAATGCCCCCGTAATCTAGGGCCTTGGTTCCGCCCGCGGATATAAACTCCCGGCTAGACCTGGGCCATCATCAGTGAAGTTTGTGCATGCGTCTTGTATGCCTAGTAAAAGTTGACCTCATTCAATCAGCGTTTTTATTTTTGTTGACAAATTCGAGGCGCACATATTTTTAAAAAATGGGGTGGCCCCGTCCCCACGCCTTTCGTTTTAATTTTTTATATACATTAAAATAATCTCGGGACTATAAACCCAACCCTTTTTTTTTCCCTTATTCTTTCTATTTAAGGTAATCCTATTCAAGGTATTAAACATTAAATGTAAGCACAGCTCTTAACAGAAATTCTTTTTTTTTTTTGTACAACAAAATTTAGGTGAATTGAGTGTCAGGGATTTACTAAAACTAGAATATGCCTTTAGACTCAAAGAGTGTTTACAGAAGCATTCACAGATCATTTACCAACAAAGTAACTATCAGCAGTGGGATTTAAACTCATACTCTTATAGGTTATGAACCAACTCCTTATCAACTGAATCAATAGTAAAAATTTAAACCTTGATTTAGTGTGTTGTGAAGAATTAGTTTTTTTTTTTATTAAACCCAATTTATGAGGGCAACCCAGGGTACATCAATAACTGGGGGATTCAACCAATGTGTACGTCGGCCCATCTGTCCCGGTAATCTTCAGAAATAGGCTTCAACTCTTACACGGGCATATTGGCATGGACCTCCAAGCGAAGGCCTGCTTTTTATTTATTTTTTTCCCTCCTTGCCAACCAAGACCTTCTAAATGAATTAATTAGGCGCTGAATTCCATGTGATTTAAATATGATAAATTGCACTGTTTGTGTGTTAAAAATTATTTTATTTTTCATTATAAATATATTATAACTATAAGCCTCAAATCATTGTCTTCGTCATCAATCTTGTCGTTTCAAAGACGAATGAGAATTAAAGAAATGACATTGTCGACTTTTATTTATATTTTTTGCAGCAAGCATGCACTCAACAATCTATACCTAAAAGACAGCGTTGAAATAAGGCAAATATTATACTAATATTACGTGATTGTTATTTATATTTTTTTATGTTTCCTTTTGGTGCGGCAAAGGCCAAGCCGCCTTGCTCAGCTCACCCCCCGCGACACCAACTGCAACCTCGAATGATTTATTATTTCCCCCGAAGTGCATGCCTCGTTATAATGTCGTCAAAATGAACAGTCCAAAACAAAACGAGGGGTTGTGACCAAAGCCAGCGACCGTCAAAAATGATATTATTCTAAACATAAGATCTCAATCTATTTTTTTTAATATTTATTTATTTATTTTAAAGGTAGTCCTTGTCATAATAATAGTTCTAACTAATACACTTGATTGACAAGGATATTAAAGGAAAGACAACACCTATTTATTAGAAATAAGTAACTTAATTAGTTTTTTTAATTTACTCAAATGAATCAACTAGTTCTTATATTAAAAACCAGACACAGACATAGTATTTGAATACAATGAAGTCAAAGGGACACATACTGCTCCAAACGACAAATTCAGAAGAGCCGTTATTAGACTTTCCGACTTTGGCGATTTGAAAATGCATATAATTAAGAAACAAGCCAACTCTTACCAACTGCTTCATTCATTATTGTAATTTATCCAAAGGAACCAGGCATGATCTCCATCACACGTAATGCTCCACGCCAGGTGATGCTCCAAAAATAAGTTAAACAGTTCAGCATTATTTATAAAATACACATATAATAACTAACTGACTTTGTTATTATTTATTTTGAATTGACTAATCGCCATTACATCAGTTTGATGCCATTCTGATGTGGTATTACGATGCTCCTATGTAGTTGCCAGGGGTTGAGTGGTGTTTGAAAATAACAGATATCTTCCAAAGTTGGGTGCTTTATGCAACAACGAATGGCTGAGATGAGTCAACCAGGCATCGCTGCTGCCACTTGCCCGTTCCTGACCTAAAAGGCCGAGGGAGGGGGACCGCTCCCTTCTACTTGTTCGGGATGGTCCTGCTCTCCATTCAGAATTTTGGAACAAAGTGGTGTCCCCCGCATTGTGTGTGTGTGTGTCTCCATAAACTACTTGTTTCAATAATCAATCAATAAACCTCTAATAATTCCCCGAGCTAGTCGTCAACTTTTACACAAACACCAGGTGTTTGATAGATTTTCGAGTTTGTATTTTGCAGTCCAATAATTACGAATTTCAGATGCTAAGCTGGATTGAAAACCACATGTATAATAAAGGCTGTGAAGAAGTCTGGAAAATCCGGTTTGGAATCGTCTTTTAGTTAAGCATTCTTATTCACTTTTTATTTGTTGAGAATAACGATGTGAGTTCTGAAAGCGTAAATAGAAAGACTTGGGGCGTGGATAACATTAAGCTTTAGGAAAGGGCCTGTTTTTATTTTGCTGGGATTTATGCAGGGGATATGGATTCTGTACGTGGTAAAGTTCACAAAGAAGTTGGCATGAGCATATTAAAAAGTGGGTAGGTGCTTGAAGGAGATAAAAAGACGATGTAAAATTGGGCTGGTTCTCTTCAGGAATTTTAGGCCGCTGATATCATAATTTTGGGCGAGGAAGGATTCCATCTTTTTACCTGAAAAGGGGAGGGAGTTTAATTTATTCGGGAAAATACGGAATCCTAAGTCCCAAATTAAGACAAAACGGTCATTCTACACAACATGCATAGACAGTGCACGTAGTTTTTGTGCCTCGTCGGTTCGCAAAATTTAATTTAATTAAAAAAAACAGAGGGCGAGCATTTCATTTTTTGGGGGGGGGGGGGGGGAGAGCAAAGAAAATTGACTTTGTCCAAAAGTGACCACGGAAGGGGATTGGGTTTTGTGGCTGCGATCATGGGCATGGTGGTGTGTCTTGTCCATGGGAATGAGGTGCCCTTACTATCAAAGCGGCATTGCTTTTAACATGAGCCCCTCATGTGTGTCCCTTGACCTTTAGTCTTTTACCCTCCGCAAGACAGCCGCTTCATGCCTATTTCCTGGTGGGTCCCACTTTTCCTATTTCATCATTTGTCGTTTCCACATACAAACTTCAGTCCTAAATATAAAATGTAATTAAAAAAAGGTATGTACATGTGCGTGTGTGTACATGTATTTACCCACCGCGACGGCATGGACTCTGGAGCCTGATCAGTGACTAATACAAATGCATAGTTTAAATCACTTTTAATTTGATATATATATCCACAGCAAAATAAGAATTTAATTAGAAAAAATCACAAGAAAAGACTTTGAAAATTAAAAAAAAAAGTAAATAGAGACCCGTTATAATATTAGTATTGGTTTTGACAACAATTGATAAAAAAAATGACAATAATTTTGTGAATGGTTCTGGCCACATGTTGGCGACGTGATACTTCTATAGTTTGATAAGTTTGGACAAATTCCAGATAAATGTTGGCATGTATGAGTAAGGTGTTTGTATAGTTTGACCAACTTAAACAGAATAATTCAGGACTGGTCGGTGACAATTCCAATGCAGTTCAAAAATTTCATTCCCGCACTAAAATTAGATCTACCCATTACATTTGAATTCTAATAGTTTTATTTTCTCTTGCTCAACCCATGCCACTTTTCAATTTCTGAGGGCTTTTCTCTTGTTATTTTACCACTTAATTATTACTTTTTCTTTTTTAAAAAATACGTCTTCAACTGGAAATGTCAAAGAAATCAGATGATTATAATATTATGCATACGCATGCAAGAAGTAAAATATCAGGCGGAGGATCCATGTTCAGAGTTGCTTTCGTTTCGGCGGGCTGGCCGTGAGTGGAACTGTTATTCCTTTATCTCCTTTATTCCAGCCACTTAAGAATCTAAATAAAGAGATTCTCATTAATAATCGATAAAAAACGAATCTAATAAAGTTTACAGAGTCACGGAATGAAAAACCTTAGTTTTGTTTATCACCAACCCAAAAAAAAAAAAACGCGTCTCTG